GAATCTTTCTTTTTGTCCGTCTTCTTTCCTGAGAGAGGTTGCCACTTAAATGGTAAGYCAACGCTTAGTGAGTTAAATAGTTAAACATTACATATTGATATCACACAAGTTTATAAACATATATAATAAACTTTTATCAATAAAAGAGTTCAAGCCATCATCCAGATGCAAACCGAGACTTACAAGAAACCGAGTGAACAATTACGTATTGGATGCCAAGATCATAGGATTCCATATTCAAATCACCATAGTATACCATACCATTGATGCTCAATACAACAAGGAGACAGCATCAACAACCAAATGTATTCAACAATGTTAGAATACCAATAATTATCAAAAACCAAGAGATCAAATTGGTATACATAATGAAGACAGTGCATCACCCCGTCCTTCACCTCCCGGGCACATGCCAAAGTCTGAGTCAGAATCATACATTACGGGAAACCTCGCACTGCCYGCCTTCCTCTACCGGGTATGTGCCAAGGTTCCCTACTCATTGCTATTCCTCCTCTCTGAGCAATGAGTATTCACAACCGCAGAAAGTCTCACCCGTCCAACACGGGATCTTGACTTTGCCATAAACTTCCGGCGTGCCACACGAAGTAGTACCCGTACTATGGCGTACAACACAAGGAACAAAACAAATAAGTCTGGATCTAGAAAGCAAACCGATGTACCGAGATAGTAATGAGGAATCGACTCAAGAGACGGAATCAAAGACAAATCAAGATCGTGTGACTCCATTCAAGACTGAAACATTCATATGAAAATATATATATGTTCAAATCAATATGTAATAATTAACTAAATAACTCACCGGGCAACCRTGTAATACCAAAAAGCTCCGAATTGAGCTCACAAAGCAAGTCCAATCCACCACACTTAGATTGCTTCCAAAATATCAAAACATGTCCTAATTACCCCCTGGAGTAAATGTACAAAATCTCATAAGCAACCGATATAAGAAATCCATGATATACAGCTGCTACATGCAGAACTGTTTTGCCCATTTTAAGCTCGAAATCATGCCTTGATCATAAAATAAGAAATAAATTAGACTCAAATATCTAACTAAGGAAATTGACCTCACCTGATTTGGATTTTTTCTATGATTTTCTACATGTTTTCAAAGTCTGCACACTTTCAAAGCATTCAAAAGTCGAAATTCTCATCTTCATACATTTTTCTCAAACCATTTCGATTCCAAACCATTCCAACTTCTGAATCTCAACTTAATATAACATATTTGACATAAACAACCAAAATCCAACCTTTATTTTATCATT